CTCGCCTTCCTCCTCCTCCTCGGCTGCCTCCTGCCCCGGCGCGGCCCGCTCAGGTGAGCGCACGGCGCGGGTGCTCGGCGCTGCGCGTCCGGCGGGGCAGCCCCCACTCGCGGGCCGTGGGGCTGCGGGGGCTGCTGCTCTCCGCACCGCTCCCCCGGCACTCCCTCCTCCGGCACCCGGACCCCCATTCCCCGGGAGCCGCATTTCTTCCCCGCCGGGACCCGGGCATCACCCCCTCTCGGAGATGGATCTCTCCTGCAGGACCCGGGCACCCCCTTCCCAGACCCGGAGGACCCCCGGGACCCCCACCCCCCGACCCGGACCTCTCTCCAGGGGCTGCTCCCTCCAGCCAGAACCCTCCCAGCTCCGATCCAGACCTCCCTACAGGCTCCCGGAGCTCCCCCCAGATCTGGCCTCACCCCCTGTTCCCTGGGACCCTGACCCAGCACCCCGGGGATCCACCAGACCCTCTCCCTCCAGCCCCAGCTGCACACAGCCGGGTTCTGCCTGTCCCCAGCAGCCCCTACCCCAGTGCTGGGTCCCTGATGGTCCCCCTGGCCCCAGGCCAGCTGGGGACCCTTGCCACAGTGGGAGAAGGGGCGACCTGAGCCAGGTCATGGCCCAGGCAGCTCCTTCTCCAGTGCTGCAAAGCCCCTGTGATGCCCAGACCCTCTTCGGGCTCAGGGGGTGTGGGGGGGGGGGGGGCTTAGGACTGTCCCTGACCCAGCCCCTGGGTCGCCCAGGCCAGTGGGTGTCCCAGGTACCATGGGTGCAGGAAGAACTCTTGGCCCACTTGGCTAGAAAATCCAAAGCCCCCAGGTCCTTTTTTCGCTCTCCAGCCACCTTGGATGCTATCTGGGACAAGGCGGGATGCAGGGGAGAGTGGGCCAGGCAGGGTGGGGTTGGGGGTCTGCAGTGCCCCTGGGCTGAGCCTGCTCCCTGCCCCCACTTTCCCTCCCATCACTCAGCCAGTACGGCTGGAGCAGCGCAGCGGGGAACCACAGCATTTGTGGTGGGGAGGGGGGAAATCGTATCAAAATGTCATTGCTTCACATGCGGAAACTGCTTGTCTTGGGGTGGCATTTTTAGGCAGATGTGAGCATTTTCCAGCCCCACCATCCCCTCGCTCCACAGAGGTGCTGAGCTCCAGGGCCCCGCAGTGTCCCGGCCAGGTTAGTGGCAGAGTCCCCTGGGACAGGCAGTGCCCGAACTGGGGAGCTGCAGCCAAACCTTGAGAAGAGCCAGGACCCAGAGGCTGTGTGCCAGCATGGCCCTGCCAGGGATGCCGCTGGAGGTGGCTGCACCCAGGGCATTTCTGCATGCCCTGCGGTCCCCAAGGTCCAAGCATTGCTGGGGCTACAGATCCGCTGCTGCTCGGCCAGGTAGCTGAGCCTCTTCAAGGAGCTAGCTGCCACTGCGCCAAGGGACCCTTCCTCCCACATGCTCCAGGGAAGAACCCTCATCCTCCTTTCCAGCAGAGGAGGACATGGTTCACAGCTATGTGGCAGGCAGAGGCCTGACTTAACTCCTTGTTGCCCTGGCCTCTCGCAGCCCTCCTCCCAAAGCTGCACCTTTCTAATGCAGCTCCTGGAGGGGGAATTTCTCCGAGCCTTTTGCTCTTGGCTAGGACCAGTCTTGGGTACTCTCTGCTGCCCATCTCCAATTAAAGGAAAACCTGCTTGGCTGGATCATTTTGGGGTGGCCATTGTGGCCATTTCTAGCTGGCAAGGATGCACATAAGCCCCTCCAGGATGAATCCCGCTCCCCTGAGAGGAGGTAGGAACAAGGTGTGTTGGTAGGAACAAGGAGGTAGGAACAAGGACCCCACGGGGTCCCAGCTCCCAGCATCATTCTCTGCTTGTGATAATGGGGTTGTAGCTCCAAGCAGGAGTGGGACCCACCTGGGCATGGACCTGGCAGAGTCATGAGGCTGTGTGCAGCAGCACGAGCAGCGTGCTCAAAGCTGCCTTTGTGTCTGGAGTTCTCTGACTAATTCCTCTCCATCACAGCCACATGCCTGGCAATGTGGTGAGCGAATGTCTCTTGCATTGTTCCTTGAAATGATCATTATAGACTGACAGAAGGAGAGAAACTGGCAGGCTAAGATGCGTTCACAGAAATATCCCCTCCAAGATCAGGTTAAATAAGTCTCCATCATCACTGGGAGTGCTGCGTGGGAGAGCTCATGTCAGCTCCACACCACAGTCAGTGCAGAGGTGGGCTTTGCTGCTTTTCTCCTGTCACATCGTCTTGGCCCCTGGCAAGGTGTCACAACCCCAACTGTGCTCCTAGGCACCTCCTCACTCATGCCAGGCCAGCCCATGGCTCGGAGGGTTGTTGTGTCCCCCAAGCCCCGAGTCTGTGCCAGGCAGGGTATGGATGTTTGCTCAGCAACTCAGGCCGAGGCTGGCAACTGAAGCCGGGAGGGACTCTGTCTGCTTTCCCCCTCCAGCACCCACACAGAGCCCGGCTGTCATACACAAGGCCATCGCCTGCTGCGCCCAGTCCCCACCGCAGCCCTGGAGCCAGGAGGCACCAGGCCCCGAACACCATGCCAGGGGACACGGTGGGCAGGGGCTGTGCTAGCAAGGGGGACAGGCAAAACGCCGGCACACAGCACTCAGGCTGTGGCAGGCAAGGAGGGGAAGCCGCCAGGATCACAGCAGAAGGAGGAAGGGGTCCTGGGGTCAGTGCGCTGACTCAGTGCTGGAGCGGGTGCGGCGCAGGCACACCCGCTTCCCATGACAGCTGGCAATCACCCCGAGGTGCCGAAATGTGCCTGCAGACCCCTGGTGCTGGCAGGCAGCTAACCTGCCTCCTCTGCCCCACAGGCTGGTCTCAGGGCGGGAAGAGATTAAAGCTGCTTCCCGAAGCTCACCCCAGCCCATGTCACCGTCTGATTTCCTGGACAAGCTTATGGGACGAACATCAGGGTATGATGCCCGGATTCGACCCAACTTCAAAGGTAAGGGAAGGACATGAGGCTCCCAGACCTGGCAGCAACCCATGCTTAAGGCTGCCCAAAACCAGGGAATGGGCAGGTATGGAGGCAGAAGCCTGACCCATGTCCCTCCGTCCCAACACCCTCCTCAGAGTCCTGGCTGCTCCAGCGATCACAGCCACCCTGCATGTGCCTGCTTTGCCTGGCAGTGTGGGCAGCTGCAGTACTTGCAGTGAGTGCTGGGGTTCACCCTGACACACTTTGGGGGTGACCCCAGCAGGCAGGGGGATGCTCATGTGCATTCATCTGCACAATGCACACAGGAGGTGGCATCCCCACATGTGCCTGTGCAGTGCACATGTCTCCCCAGCCAGTGGTGAGAGGAGGCTTGATGCTGTTTTCCAGGTCCGCCTGTCAACGTGACGTGCAACATCTTCATCAACAGCTTCGGCTCCGTCACCGAGACCACCATGGTGAGGGTTTCTCCAGTGTGACAGGCTCCTCTCCCAGCGCCTTGGGGCTGGCGGTGGCTCTGCCAGGGAGTGTGCAGGTCCTCGTGCCCAAGCCTTACAGGGGTCCTGTGAGCCCTTCTCCGGAGCTGGCCCTGGCACCGTGGTGGGGACATGCAGAGCCATAGCAACTGGCTGTGGCTTTTCTGGGGTCAGTTAACCAGAACTTGGCTGTGTGGGCCACTTTCCCCATGCCTGAGCTGGCAAAAACACCCCGAAGGGTCGGAGCAAGGCAGCTGGTGGTAGCTCCCTGCTGTTCGCAGGCTCAGCAGGTGCCGTACAATGCAAGCAAGCTCTATGTCCCTGTGATCCCCAGCCTCCTCAGGTGCATGAGGAACTCCTCTGAGGAAGCCCCAAGGCTAAAAATTCCCTATTTGTGCTGCTGCAAAGCCTTAATACCATCAACCATCACATCAAGCCCTCCCCAGGGCCGCAGAGCCCTGCGACAAACATTGCAGGCAGCAGCTACTGGTCCTTCTCTTTCTCCTCCTCTTGGCTGCTGTGGCTTTGGCTTTTTAATTTCCCGTGGCTGCTGACAGCACGGGAAGGCTCCTGAGCTGCCCCTGCCCTGTGTGTGGTTAGTGTCAGGCAGGCAGCACCTGTAGAGCTGAGCCTCAACCGAGACACCCCCTTCCACCTTCTTCTTCATCTCTTCTTCCTCCTCCATCTCTTCCTCCTCCTCCTCCTCCCTGGGCACCGTGGGGTGCTCCCGGCTGAGGTGGTGCCCTCTGCCCCAGGACTACCGGGTGAATGTCTTCCTGCGGCAGCAGTGGAATGACCCCCGCCTGGCTTACCGTGAGTACCCTGACGACTCCCTCGACCTCGACCCCTCCATGCTCGACTCCATCTGGAAGCCAGACTTGTTCTTCGCCAACGAGAAAGGGGCCAATTTCCACGAGGTCACCACCGACAACAAGCTGCTGCGCATCTTCAAGAATGGCAACGTGCTCTACAGCATTAGGTAGAACTCTTCTCCTCTGGTGCAGTGCCTGAGTGGGGAGGCAAAGCTTTCCTCTTGCCTCCTGTGAGGCAGCTTTTCCCCCTTGACTGCCCCAGCCCCCAGCAACCCCCTCCTTTCTTCTGCCTCCTCCAGGCTGACACTGATCCTGTCCTGCCCCATGGACCTCAAGAACTTCCCTATGGACATCCAGACATGCACCATGCAGCTGGAGAGCTGTGAGTACTTAGGGGGGGTTCAAGCTGTGCTTTGTCAACCCCCCCACCCCCATCCCATCCCATCCCAACAGCTGGCATCTCCCTGCTTCTGAGGGAGGTGAGAAGGAAGGACCGGTTGTTCAGGGTGGGGATGAATGGGGTCCATGTCCCCCCCACCCCATGGCTCCCTCCATCCCCCCACAGTTGGCTACACCATGAATGACCTAATCTTTGAGTGGCTGGAGGAGCAGGAGGCTGTGCAGGTGGCCGAGGGCTTGACGCTCCCGCAGTTCATCCTCAGGGATGAGAAGGACCTGGGCTATTGCACCAAGTACTACAACACAGGTGAGCACCCCAGGCACCTGCTGCCACACACCCCCCACACCCTCCCCCCCGCCATGGCCTGGGTGTGCCTCTCACCCACTGGGGCTCTTTCCCTGCAGGCAAGTTCACCTGCATCGAGGTGAAGTTCCACCTGGAGAGGCAGATGGGTTACTACCTGATCCAGATGTACATCCCCAGCCTGCTTATCGTCATCCTCTCCTGGGTCTCCTTCTGGATCAACATGGACGCAGCACCGGCCCGGGTGGGCTTGGGCATCACCACCGTGCTCACCATGACCACGCAGAGTGCCGGCTCCCGTGCCTCCCTGCCCAAGGTCAGTGCTGGCTCCATGCTGGGCTCCCGCACTGCAGCCTGCTTGGGGCAGCTGGGGTGCCCACTGCTGCCCCCGGCGCACCAGGGGCAGCATTCCCTTGGGAATGGGTGGCTCTGTAGCCTTGCTGGCTGGGGCACCGCATGTGCTGAGGGGAAACACGGCACTGCTTGGCCAGGCGAGCTCTGACCCATGTGTCCCAGCTGAGAGGGCTCCTGTGCCCCTTGGCAACGGGGCAAAGCTGGCAGTGGGGGGGATGAGTGAGGTGGGAGGCAGCGGGTCCCTGAGCCCTCTCTTGCCCTCGCAGGTCTCCTATGTGAAGGCCATTGACATCTGGATGGCCGTGTGCCTGCTCTTTGTCTTCGCCGCCTTGTTGGAGTACGCAGCAGTCAACTTCGTCTCCCGCCAGCACAAGGAGTTCATGCGCCTGCGCCGGCGCCAGCGGCGGCAGAGGATGGTAAGTCCCTCCCGCCACCACTGTCACAATATCTGTCTGTCCTCAGCCGCTGAGGGGACACCCTGGGGCTGCAGGGCCAGCTTCTCAGCAGCCACCGGGGCAGGGCTCAGCGCTGGACTGTATCCCAAGCCGGCCCCCTCCAGCACATGAGGGACCCACAGGCATCGCAGTCCTTCTGCCTGCCTGAGCAGCACACTGCACAGCACCCATGGGTCCCCCAGGCCCTGCCAGCACAAACACCCAGGGTGCTGTCCTCCTCCTGCCAGGACATACTAGGGCTCTGCTACCTCTAAAAAAGCAGAAAAATAAACAGCAAAGGTGGGGGAAATGGCCTTTCCCCTGCAGCCCCAAACTCCCGGGCTCCTCGCTGAGCTGCAGCGGTGATAGGGGCCCACTGCTGCATCAGGGTAGTGAAGCACCAAGGGGACCTGGTGGCACTCAGGGAGAGGGTCTGAGCTGCAGATGAGAGCACACCAAGGCCTGGAGAGGCAGGGTCCCATGCTCGCGGGACAGCCCTCCCCTCCGTCAGCCCATCGGCGCAGGCATCAGGCCTGTGAGATGCTCAGGGAAGGCATGCGGCTGCCCCACTCTCATTTTCTTGCCATAAGCACACTGCGAGGCACTAGACCTCCATGGAAAACACAAGTACATGTACACACTGCACAGGCACGCAGTGGCCTGTGCAGCCAAATCCCTTTGGCAGATGCTGAAGATGGATCCCAGTGCCTGGGCACTGCTGGGGGGGCTTTTCCCCTCATGTGGCGCGCCCGTCCCCCCATTGTCCCCATCCCGGTGCCCAGAGCTTCTGTCCCCGGGGCCAGGGCAGAGCCATCGATCACCTGCTGTCCTGTTTCTGTTTGGTGCACACTGTCGGATGCCAAAAGGGCCTGAGCAGCGGGACAGCCAGCCTGGAGTCCCTGCAGCAGCTGAGCGGCCGGCACGGCAGCGAGCACACCTACGCGACGCTCTCCAGCTCCCGGGTAAAGCACAACCCTCTGGCAGCCCCCTGTGCAGTGCAGCGCAGCGCACCCCCAGCCAGTCTCACCCCCCCCTCCCCAAAACAAGCCCCCCCAGGAGCTTGCCCCGGGGGCCAGCAGGGGCCCATGGAAGAAGCAGGGCAGTGATTTGCACAGAGCATGGGCCCATAGGATGGAGCTGCTGCTCCCTGGGCTGAAAAGAGATTTGTGAGAGGGACGAGAATGGAGCAGATTTCCCTGGAGACACCCCTGCTCCATGCCTTAGTTTCTCCTTCCGTAAAGCAGGACCAGCGCAGCCCCCTTTGCCGAGGTGTGAGTGATGCTAGGGCAGACCGATGGCCGCTCCTGGGCTGCTGCCCGTCTCCCCAGGCTATGCCCATGCCTCTGGCAGGGTGAGGTCTCTGCCTGCCTGGCTTTCCTGGCACAGGCAGGCTTGAAGCACTCGTGGCTGCCTGCAGAAACTCCAGCGCAGGCATTTGCTCAGGGCACAGGGGCACTTTGCAGCTTGAGGCATAAGGAGGAGTGGTGGGGCAGGAAAGGCTCCCAGGCTGGGGGGAGATACTGGGGGACGACCATAGCTCCAGGGAGATCAGGCCTGCTACATTCTTGCCTCCCCACCCAGCCACGCTGCCCCAAGCTTCCCCTCTGCCATCATCAGCCCTTGAACTCCGGGAGAATCTTCCTGGCTCCCTCCAGCACGCTCCCTTGCTCCCTGCCTTTCACAGCCCCTGAGCGCCGGCTTCTGGAGATGAACCCAACGGGAGCAGGGAGGGGGAGGCTCTGCCAAACCCAAGGACCATCTGCTTAAAAGAGACTGAAGTGCAGTCACCCTGAGGTGGAGGCTGCAGAGCCACCCTGGGGTGCTGCTGGCAAGGCACTGGTTGCAGCCAGGAGCATCCCGGGTTGCTGCTCAGTCAGAGACCGGAGCAGAGCCCCGCTGCTCGCAGCTCCCGTGCCGGCACTGCCTGACGCAGCAGCACAGCCTGGGTGCTGCAGCCCCATGGCAAATCCCTCCCACAAACCCCGCAAAGCTGGGCCCAGGGAGCTCCCTGCACCCAGCCTTGTCCCCCAGTAAGCACCCTAGGGCTGCCCCAGCCCAGAGGGACCCAGCTGGGAGGACCAGCACTCCCAGTCTGCCATCTCCTGCCCCAAACACCGTGGCTGGGCCCACTGGCTCCCCGGGCTGGGGGAATAGCTGTTGGCCCCAGGGCACCCCGGCTCCCCTCCATTAAGTCCCTCAGGGCAGCTGCAAGTGCTCAGCCTGGGGCAGGGGAATAAAACTCCGCTGCAAATGAGAACAAATCATCTCAGCAATTTGAGCCGCTGCTGCTCTTCCCACTGAGAAATCTTGCTTAGCCGGCAGATTGCTGAGTTAAATAAAGATGCCAGGGCGCAAGCTCTCCGCATGAGAGCCCCCTTGCCGGCTGAGCGCCTGTGCAGGCTGACCTCAGCGAGGAGGCTGCTCTAGGCGATTTGGAGGGCAGTGCCGGTCAGAGATGGCATTTGGGATCTGGCATCCAGGCTGCGTGTGGGCATGGTGTGAGGCGAGGGCCTGGCCTGCAGCACGCCCTGGGAGAAGAGACCCACCACAGCCAGATATGGCACTGGCAGGGCATAGGGGGGATGAGCCATAGAGACCAAATGAGTGGCCTGGGGGCCCGGTGAGATGCCAGATGCGCAGCCCAGGCTTGCACATGCCGGTCCCTCACCAAATCTTTGCACACAGACCCCCCCAAGCATAAAAAAGCAGGACAAGGCAAGTTGCTAATGATGCACAGCTGTCAGTGGAGAGGAGCACAGGCACCACTGGCCAGCACCCAAGGGGCTGCGAGGCAAGCAGGGCTCTGCCACGAATGATGGCAGTGGGCTGCAACCCAAAGGTGAGGGCAGGCGCCCAGCTCTCATGGCACTTTTGCAGGCTTGATCATGGGCATGCAGCCCCACGGGCATGCTGCCCTCCCTGCAGCCCCCCGCCAGCATGGGGGCAGATGGGGTGAGCAAGGGCAGAGACCAGCAAGGAGTCCAGCTCTCTCAGCCTCTCTCCTCTGCTGCACCAGGCAGTCCCTGCCAAGCAGACACGGGGAGAAACCAGGGCCTAGGCCCTTGGAGGGACTGGGAGGCCCTGCAAGCCCTGATGGTAGCCAGGCCCCTGCATGCCTGCCCAGCTCTGCCCCAGCAAGCTGCCTGCCCCCTCCTATTCACCAGCACAGGCACACTTCCACCTCACAGTGAACACAGCTGCCACAGCAGTGCCTGTGCCCCCAAGCTCCCTGCACCCCAGTGCACCCTGCACGCCTGTGCCCTGCAACCCCATGTGCCCATCCCCCTCCCTCCCCCCCCCAATTCGCCCCTGTGCCCCCTGGCTGCCAGAGAGCAGGGCTTCCCAAGCCCCCGAGCCAGAGCTGGGAGGAGGCTGGGGGGATCAGTGTTGGGCTGCCAGGGTCAAGGTTGCCCTTGGATGCACCCTTAAAACACATCCTAGATGACAAAGCAGTCCGTCAGTGCTCGCCCCCACACCCAATGCACACTGCTGCCTGCCACTGCCCACAGCCTGCCGGCCCTGTGCTTTTGCCTGCACGCTTCGGGCTTTCTGAAAGAGTGCCTAACCTTGTGCTGGGCACTTACATGACTGTATTGCCTCGTGGGGGGGCGTATAGGAGATGCAGCCACAAGCGCCTGCTCACCCTGCAGTATTGGCGCCCATGGGATGCCCTGGCTGACAGCCTTTCCCTTTGCCAGGAGGAAGAGCTTGTCCGCGAGAGCCGCTTCTACTTGCGAGGCTACGGGCTCAGCCACTGCCTGCAGCCAAAGGATGGGGCTGGGGAGGGCCCTGGCATCTACAGCCCCCCAACAGCCAGCATGCTGCTGCGGGAAGGGGAGGGCCTCTGCAGGCGCTACATCGACCGGGCCAAGCGCATCGACACCATCTCCCGAGCTGTCTTCCCCTTCACCTTCCTGGTCTTCAATATCTTCTACTGGGTTGTCTACAAAGTGCTGCGCTCGGAGGACATCCACTCGGTGCCCTGAAACCCAGAAAAGCATGACTGCCTCTCAGTCTGACCCCCGCAGCGTGCCTAGGCACCGCGAGCTCAGCCAGAACCACGTTTCCCTCTGTCCTGGAGCAGCGGCACAGCTGGCCTGGGCCTTGGAGCTTGGACATGTGGCAGCCCCCAAGTCCCTTTGGATGCCGGGGCACTGAGGGGGGGATCAGCAACCCCAGGTCCCCATGGTCAACTGGAGAGAAGGACCCCTCCTGCCTCCTGCATGGTGTCACCCCCAGGTACCCAGGGATGCTGTGCTGCCAGGGCACAGGGAAGCCCCTGGCACTTTGAGGTGCTGGACAGCTGGTGGCCATGGAACACCACCTTCCAGCCAAACACCCTCCATATCAGGCTGCTGCTTCTTCAGGCTGCATCACCGAGCTGTGGACCATGAGCAGCCAGGTGAGAGGCTGCAGCCCTCTCTCATCCCGTGGCCCGGAGCTCAGTTGCAGGAAACAGCAGGCAGCACCCCTGCCTGCACCGGGACTGTGTGGGGTGCTGGCTATGGCCACATAGTCCCCAGCCCAGCAACAGACAGGGTCCCTCCAGCCCCCAGCCAGCTCCAATCCACAGCAAAGCAGCAGGTTGCGGATGCTTTCCTCCCTGCAGAGCCCAGAGCTGCCTATAATGCCTGTGGCTGCAGGCAGGACTGTGGCAGAGACACTGGGCAGGAGGCTCCGTTTCCTATTTCCTCTAAGGAAACACCAGCCCTCAGACAGGCAGCAGGCGAGCCCAGTCTCACTGATGGTGAAGGGGCACAGACGGCCATTGGAGCAGCAGACAGGTGCCGTGTGGCACTGCGGAGCCTGCGGAGCACTGCACTACCTGCAGCGTAGGGCCCACAGCCCAACCTCTGAGGGAGATTTTTGGGGATCAAAGTGGGGGCATCTTGGCTGATCCCTTTGGAGGAGTAGAGTGAGTGGTGGCATCCCCAGACTGCTGCGTTCCCACTGCACCACAGTGCCAGCAGAGAGCTGGAGGTGAAAACCGCGCCATTCCCCAGCTTTCTTCCCACCCCAGCACCCAGGCACGACATCCTCTGAACGGGTTCACCCCTGCTGCTCCTCCACCGGAGAGGAGAGCATTCGAAACCTCAACAGGACAAGCTCAGCAAGGCTTCTAGCCCTCCAGACCTGGATATCCTCTGTGCTTAGCAGGAAATAAAAGCAGTAGGTGATGTTTATGTAGGACCTACAGAGAGAAACGTGTTGATGCTCTCCTTTCCCCCTGCTCACAGCCTGGTGGAGTCCATCCCCCATGGCCGTGGGTGCAGGAGAGGGCCCAGGGTCTTTCAGGCAGGGCAGGATGGAAACGGGATTCGCCCCTTTCTTTGGAGGCTGTGGTGCCACCATGGCATGGCGAGGGCTCTGGTGACCTGCCTGTCATGGCAAAAGGGACCCTGTAGGGCAGGGGAATGTGGGCAGGAGGCCAGCACAGCCCACTGAAGCCAGACCTGGGCAGAAACCCCCGCCATGGCTCCTGGCCCCGTTCCTTGGGCAGGAATCACCCTCTCGCTTGCACAACTTCCCAAGAGCAAAGCCCCACACCCCCCTGCCCAGCCCCCTAAGCCCTGCAGACTGCTCAGCTGCATGCACCTATTTCAGACAGGACAAGTGGAGAAGAACTGGCCCCAGGCCATGCCTGGGACCCACCAGGATGGGCCAAACCAGCTCCATCCCACCACCACCGCTGTGCATGCCTTCCCCACTGTGAGGGTCCCTGCAGGGCCTCACCATGTGTCCAGGCCAGGCTTTCAAGACTTGTTTTTGGGGAGGCCCCATTTGGAGGCGGAGGGAAGGGCGCACCTTGTCTCCTTGGCTCACCCAGCACCTGCCCCCCCACCCCCCCCCACCCCCCCAGGCAGTGCCGGGCAGGGGGGGGCCAGGGC